TGAATTGTCGGGAGATTACTAGATATAGGGTAGTCTGGTATATATATATAAGAGGGTGACATCGTGACGGGACAATAATGTGTGTGTAGGTAGTGAGTAATTGATCTGCAGTGAGAAAGTATTATTGAAGTTGAGCACGTTCGTTGTTATAGCGTTTGTTTTAGCGCGATTGTTGAAATTAAGTGTATCGTAAAGTTATATTCGGAAAGAATAAACCAGTTTTATTAAGTAAGGACTGGTGTCGCTAAAGTTTCGTCGGAACGAATTTATGGAAAATTAATTAACAAACGGAGACGTAACAATATACTAGAAAGAACAAAAGACAGATCTGATAATTGCTTGAAATGGAAAGACGGTATTTTTAATGGGCGCCTGATTGTTAACTTTCATCTGAATGATTTTTATAGCTTTCACCGCGTAAAATAGTCCTAAGATATGTTATACCATTCTTGAATCGTTAGGCTGTGAACAATATCGTTACGATTGTTCTATTGTCTATGTTGTGAGTGACTGCACTACACCTTTCCTGAATCGCTAGTCTGTGCACAATGTAATTACGAGTGCCTTCCTGTGTGTGTAACGACTGTGAAGTGAATGTTTCTCATTTAATCTAGAGTTCAGTTCAGACAAATTGAGTTAAATTTCTAAAAAGAAATGTTTCAATCATTGTGACTCAGAATGGTAATTAAAACCAGATTGAAAGAAAAGCTACTCAAAAATGTTTACTTAGTGCTTCAATTTTGTTTTGTTTTGGCGTTCAACTTTCAATAAGTTCTGTCTAGGGTAATAACGTATGCAAGTTGAATAACATACTAGCACTATACGTCGTAAGAAATATATTGGAAAATATAAATCTGTCTTATGTTGTTTTATTCAGAACTGTCTAAAAATATGGGTAATAAAATACGACTTATTGTCGAAAACTTGACAAAGTTAATAAATATATATTCCCTTTGTTTCAGATAGCACAGGCCTGCGATGGTTTTATTGTCTTGAAATTTTTACATGTTCTACAGTAATTTCTGTACGCTGAATCCGAAAATGATATCCATTTTTCATCATCACGTACAAAATGTTCACAAAACGTTATAATTCAATACATAAAAGAACGACCACAACACGTAGTTCTGAGATTGAAAGACGTATATTTCACACACACAAAAATCAGGATGAATGAGAATGCATATTCG